CCAAGCTCACCTGCCTGTCCCACCAGAGTCTATGACAACCAAGAGCAGAAGCAGTGATCTTAGAGCCGCCAAACACGTGCCTTACATGTACTGAGTTCACAACCATTTATTTTTAAAAAGGAACTTTTGATGACAACTGAGCTGCCTCTTCCTCTTGTTCTTCCTCTCTGTAAAATAGTTTACAGTCCAGTCTTTGTGGCAACTCTGTGCTCATTTACTTTCACTACTCTGGGCCTTTCTTTCTTGTATGCTACTGCACTGCTCACGTGCTGAAGCTTTGTGATTGCTGAGACTGGTGGTAGAAGATACTCCTTCCTGCCAGGAAGCCCACAAGTGCCTCTCACTGTGCAGTGGGAATCCTCCCTGGCTTCCTATCCTTACAGAAACTGCATTTAGCATTTACTTGTATTTCAAAGAGCTCAGTTTCCTAGAAGCCCTTTACTGTAGGATGGCTTCCTTTCTCTCATTAAATCCTAGGACAAAGGAGTAGACAGAAAAGGGTTGAATCATATAAATCTAGAACCTCTGGGCATGCAGTAATTCACCACTTACAGGGAACATTGGCTGCAAGGTGTTTGGCATATTTAACATTCTTATTTTTACCCCAAATAGCATATTAGATATCCCCATCTCCATTCATGGAGAACCGAAAACAATACAAGGTAAAATAATGTAAATGAGATATTGATTGCATGTGCTTTTAATTAAGAAGTTTAATAGTAGAGTCCAGAGAAAACTTCAAATTATTAAGAATTAAAAAGAATAAGCATAATAGTATTATCTCCCTCATTGAAAACTCCAGGGATTTCTAGATAGACAGCATGTAAATGGATATAGCCTATAAGATTTTGGTTTGTTGTAAGAAAGTTTCCAAAACTATTACAGATTTTATAAATTAAAACTCCTATATCCAAGAATAACTATTTTTAATACTTGTTATTATTTGTTTCTGTAAAAAAAATTCTAGGTAGTCTGGTATACCTTTTCTATAATAAAAAAGATTTTGTTTTCTTGTTTTTGAGGAAGACATGAGCATCCACGAGAGCACAGTTATTATATTAGTGACCTGGTGGTTAGAAAAGATGATCCCTTGGGCTCCTGAAGAAATGTCCACGCAGCCCATCCCAGGCCGAGCGAAGAAGCTGGGCTCTCCTGGGAATCTTCCTGGGAATCTGCCTGATCCTTAACTCGGGGTGATGGCGGCTCTCAACAGAAAGGGAAAGTCTGAAAACATGGGGATGATGCCTGTCATGATTGGAGTGAAAGCTGGAAGTTTTAGTTTTATTAGAACAGGACCCTGTGGAGGGAAGCATTTTTTTTTCTGTTTTATTGTCTAATAGTATATAACTATGGTCTTGATAAAACTAAAGAAATGATAAATTTGTCCTGACATCAAATTAATCCAACCTATTTTCCATGCTAAGGCAGTGTGTGCCTCAGCTCAGGAAGGAAGCCAAGTCTGTCGTGCTGAACCCAGAGGAGAGCTTTTGGTGCTCAGATGTGTGGAGTCGGGAAAACCTGTCACAGATAACTCTCCATGGGGAGTTTGAAATGTCAAGGCCAAGGTTGGAATGCCATCCACAGAGCGCAGGAGACTTGACAGAAATCTATATGAAACTATTCTAGTACAGACTTAGGCTGCATGGAAAAGTCAGAAACTTCTCTGGACAGGCGTCAGTGCTCTGATCTAGTTTCTGTTTGGTGATGTTGGAGCTTGCCCTAATATCAAACCTTTTTGCCATCTCTGCATTGTAAAGTAGCTGGGAGACCTGGTTCCAATCTCGTCGGGTGCTAACCCGCGATGCTTCTTGGAAGGCAGGAATGACTCCAACCCTCAGCCTGCTCACACACGCAGGCCTTAGAGTCGGAGCCATTTGTTTTTATGGAGGACTGAAAGCTTTGGACATCGCCAGAGTCTGTGATCCGCGGTCATTCAGAATGACCTGGACAAGGGATCTTCAACCCACACAAATCTAACTCACAGCCCGGAAAGCATTCACTTGCTTAATCTAGTCTGGCATTTTATTTCGACTCCTCACTTATCTACATTAATCTTATTGGTTGTTTATTGATTGATTGATGGTTTAAGTAATTTCTCTCCAAAAACTAGTCTAAAATCTGCTGTACAGGAAACGCATATTGACAGACTGTTACTGGTGAATACAGTGAAGGGCTGTGATCTTAGACCTTTTGAAAATGGAAGGTCCGACCTGGAAAAGGACGGTTTGGGGACTTTTTTCACTTCCTGCGCGTGGCTTTCGCCTGCGGGGTTCTCTTTGACGGCGGATGGCGGGGGCAGTGGGTCCGGGGAGCATGTCCTTGTCCCTGAGCACCGCTGACTGTCCCTGTGCTCCTTTGCAGAGCTGGAGGCCGAGGAGTGGTGCAAGCACCTGTGCATGGAGTGCCTGGGGACCCGGCTCAACGACATCAGCCTCGGGGAGCCAGACCTGCTGGCGGCGGGGGTGCAGCGCGAGCAGAACGGTCAGTGTCCGAGCCGGCAGGACCGCAGTAATGTGTCAGGACGATCATATTAACAAAAAAAGAAAGAAAGAAAGAAAGAAAGAAACAAATCCATCAGTCCACATTACTGTGGGACTTTCCCACGATGGCATAGCAACTAGAGAAAATGCGAAGGTACAACCCAAGTCTCCTGGCTGCTTGTCTTTGACCTTGTCATTTGCTCCTATTTTCAGTAGGAAAGTGCCGTGGATGAGATCTCAGAGTACCACCAGCCTTTGAATCTGTAGCACCCCTACATCTCCTTCTCTGGAAGTGGGTACAGATTCAGAGCTTATGTTGACAAAGGTGGCTCCTCAGGTTGTCAAGTGCTTTTAAAGTATGTGTTATTCTCAGTAGGAAAGTACTGAGGGTGAGATCTCAGAGTATCCCCAGCGTCTAATTTAAGAGGCATTTCTGATGCCTCTGAACAATCTATGCTGCATGCTCTTGATTAGCACTTCCAATGCAATTGGAGTAATGTATGTATTATTCAATGGAAAGTCTTGAATTATATTCAGGATAATTAGTAATTGATTGTGAGCCCATTTCCCCCTACTTTTTAAGTAATTAACACCACTACCAGGTGATCTGGTATTGTGCAAATAGGAACTTTTCGACGTTTGCATTTGGTGGTCAGTATTGAGAAAGTCTGAGGGTAACTGGTGAAACTTGACACTGTTTATTAAAGAGAATTTATGGGACCCTCCAGGGTGTATGAACTAGACTACACAGGTGATGTACACCAGGACACCACTGATGACCATAGTCCTGTTGCTACTAATAACAATGTTGATAATAAGCTCTGCTATTTCACAGCTCATTAGAACACTCTTTATTTTATTTGTCACTGAAACAAGGAAGCAGGATTTTTTCCTACTATTGATCATGAATATATGCAGGCGCCAGACACTGCCTCTGTCAGATAATTTTTACAAAGTCACAAAAGCATTTCTGCCAGGTTCAGTGTCACACTTCTGTAATCCCAGCAGCTGGAGAGGCTGAGACAGGAGGATCAAGAGTCCAAAGCCAGCCTCAGCAAAAATGAGGGGCTAAGCAACTCAGTGAGACCCTGTCTCTAAATAAAATACAAAATAGGGCTGGGATGTGGCTCAGTGGTTGAGTGCCTCTGAGTTCAATCCCCGGTACACCTCCAGATGCACGCGCACACGCACACATACACACAAAAAAGCATTTCTGCAGCTCTTTCTGGGTTCCTCTTTACACCTCGGCTCCTTTCCCACCTCGCTCAGATTTCCACATCTGATTTGTTTTCTGGAGCTGTGATAAGCACAGAACACCCATAACCATACTGCTTGAAGTGCGCTGCTCATTCACAGTTTAAAAAAAAGAAAGAGAGCAAGAGAGAGAGAGAAAGAAAAAAAAAAAACTCTTACCGATAAAAGAATTGTCAAGTACTACATAAAGGAAATACAAAAGGGTTTGTAAATTAAGATTGAGGGAGATGCATCTCTTCCAGTGTACACTATGTGCTTTCAGTTTAAAGATTTGAAGTTGTGTATGGTTTCCATCCAAATGAAAAACGGAATCCTCTTATTATAATTCTGTTTGTAATTTGATGATAATGTTAATTTGCCTAGAATAGAAAAGGAAAATTTAAATATAGATTTGGACTTAGGATAAAACAAATATGGAATTAAATGTAAGAGCTACATGAAAAGTAGAGTTTTCCTTTTATAAAGGATCACAAGTAAAACCAAAGAAAACAACAACAACAGAAAATTCCTGCCCATACTTTAGAGCAGATCTGAAATTGTAATATTGCCCAGGCCACAAATGCTTGTGTTAATTTTTTTGTTGTTTGGTAAACCATGCAAAAGGGTGAATGTGCTTTTTAAAATACATTTAACAAATCCATGAATAATTACTGAGCTGGGTAAGGTAGTATCGGGTTCACTTAAATGGCCTTCAGAAGGTACACAGTGCCCTATAAAGAAATTGGCAAGCTAACTCAGTATATATGCAGACACACACACACACACACACACACACACACACACACACACACACCTCTCTTCAGTGCTTGGCAACAACAGGAAACCCTTTGATGGGAGAATTGCCTTTCCTAGGGAATCACTGTCTCCCCACCTCCAGGCCAGGTGTGTAGCCAGCTCAGGGCTTGGAGGCTTCTTTTTGTTCAGGTGGATCCCTAAACCCACATGGTACCTTTCCCTAGCCCATGGAAAGCTAATTAAAATGTTTAATACTTCTCGTGCATATTAGAGTAGGACAAAAAAAAGAATAAAACTCAAGATACATCAAGACTTCTGACGCCACTGTGGCAAACTCAATCATTCTAGTGTCTATATGCAGCTGGGGAAGAAGTGTACACACCGATCACACAGGTTCTTATGTTCAGGCCCAGTTTTCTCACTTCCTAGTCATCAGGCGTCCCCTGTGCATATGCCAGCTCCAAGTGAGAAGCCCCTGGAGGTGATTAACTCCCACGGGGTCTAAAACCTCATGGTCAAGACTAAGATGGGTTCTCAGCTGGCTGCACCCTCTCTTTAAGGTCTGAGGCTTCCCTTAGAACCAACGGTTATGACCATTAACTTGACTTAAAATGTGTAAGGAAGATGCTTATTGTTTTCGCTAGCTGATTAATGTCTTTAAAAGTAGTGTCTTTCAAAACTCTTCTTTCATTGATTCTCGATCACTATTCCAGACTTTTCAAGACAAACCTTCTAAAATAAACAAAATAATTAACTTCTTAATACATGTTGGAAGTAATTAATATGTACAGATTGAACTAAATCCTTTATGAAGAATTTGTCATTATAGATTCAGGGTTTTTTTTTTTTCTTGAGGCATTTTGGTATTAAATTATACAATTTATTCTCTGTCAGAGAAATGCTTTGTTATCTTGTCAATCATGTGGTTGGATTTAATTTGAAGTTTTTCTCCTAAAAGATAAGATAAAGCATCCAGAATTGATGTGAAAATTACATTAGAGTGGCGTGTGATGACCTTGCGGTATTCTACAATCGAGGTAAAGGCATACCGCTTGGTCTTGACCACAGCATTATTTTGACATTCAAAATTGCTACTTCTCCTCTAGTATTTTCCTGGCTGTTCAGACAGCCTGGTCCTATTTACTCTGAGGCTAACTAAGAATAGATATTTATGCAAATAATTTTAAAGGTGAAAAATAATGTGTTTTGCTGAGATAAAAGTGGTTATTGATTAAATTCTTTGCCATAATCACCTTTATCTAAAGCTGTCAGCTGCTTTCCCATTGACTCAGATCCTACGTTATATATAAGCAAACACAAACCCTCTCTCTCTCTCTCTCTCTCTCACACACACACACACACATACACACATACACACACACACACACACACACGATTCATAGACTTCAGGTAACATTGCCACAAGAAACAGTATAGGAAGTAGACTTTTAAAAACTTAAATTCTTACACTTTCTTGGATCTCCAGATATTTCAGCAGCATTTCAGATAGCCTACATTGACCTTGGAAAGATGAATATATAGTGTAACAGTCATAGTTGCTTATCGAGGCTTCACAACCCATAACAACACTTCTGGAAAACAGATGTCGCATATTCATCATCCATGGCAAAAGTGAGTGTCGTGATCAAGAGGCAGCTCATTTGCAGAACGTCCTGCAGTGGCAGTTGGAAGGAAATATGGGGGATGTCCAGCTTGCTACCAATGCAAGACACCTCTCTGTGTCCGGAGCAAACCAACCAAAAGGTCACCTCAGTCTTTGACATCTGGCTGATTCAGTCAGGTCTGAGAGTCTGGTTTTATCCAAGACCCAGTGGCTCTGCCAATGTGGACTAGACTCAGCATGAAGTCCTACATTCAGCCATATTTTCTCCAACCCAAAGCAATGTTCTATGTTGGCTCTAAACTCTTTACCTGGATTGCCAGAGTAACCATATTGCCTCCGTTGAACTCAGACACCTATAAATATCATTCACTCTTTCATTGTTCACACATGAAATATTTTTGAGGACCTCTGATATCCAAAAACTAAGCTAAGGAAATGTAGAATTGAACAAAACATGGTCATTAGCCAAGAAGCTTGCAAAACAGTGAAGGACACAAACTTCCAAACAAGGTCTATCAATCAATATTTTGTAAAATACTGTGTTGCCATTACCAGAAGCATGTCTTTGCTGTTCATGGATAGGGGAGTGGCTGGAGCTCAGTTCAGTTAAACTGGGTTCTGCTGAGATGGACTCCAAGTATCTCTCCTCCTCCCTACACCTGCAGCTACCAAAAGCATGTCTCAAAACAATTAATAACTGATGCAAAAAAGCAAGACTAAACTTGCAACTTAACTTCGTCCTCTGCATATTTCATGTCCACTGATATTGCATTGACCAAACAGGTCCTGTGTCCAAGCCCAAAGTCAAGAAGCGTAGCAGAGCTCACCTGTGAAGCCATTAAAGATGTTAAAATGCATCACCCAGAGGAAGAAAGAAATGAATGATTGAGGGATATAAATAGCAATGATGCTAAGCTGCTTTCTAAGCTATGACAAAATACATGTCAAAAAAAAAAGTGTTGTGGTACAGTTGATTAATTCTTATCAATGTAGATTATCCTCTTCTTTTTTAAAATTACTTTTTAACCCTCAAAATAGCTTCCTCAGACAAATCTGAAATTCTTAATGCCTATCAGTGATTAAAACTAACATTGGCAGGACTTTACTGATGGAAGATGGCCATGGTTCATGACAGGACAGTGGCAACAGTAACAATAAATATCCATTTAAGGGCTTTTTCCCAGTTCCTCAAAAATTATATAAGGTATATGATCTTGATGCTCATACATGTTCTTTATAACCAGTGAGTTTGCAGGCGTATCATTTTGTCCATAGGGAGACACAGAGCAAAACCAACTTACACAGGGAAAGAAGTGGACTGAGTTCTAAGTGCTGCCCACAAGCGCTAGCATTGCCACGGCGAGTCCCAGGAAAACAGCTGTGATGAC